AAAACGCAGGCCAGTCCCTGAATAAATAATGCACCACCATCATCTCATCTGCGGTTTCCTCGTTTAAAATTCAAATGCTGCTCCGAAACCTGCCGCCGCCGCCTTCACCACCTGCAGTGCAGACGAGCTCTCTGGGCTGACGATTTTGGAGCCTCTAGGCTCGGGGGGCTTCGGGACGGTGTTCCGGGGCATTTTCAACGGCATAGAGGTCGCTGTCAAGGTATGGTGATTCGTCGTTGCCGCTTGGACTGTCGCGATGTTTTCTGATCGCAGCCCCATTCCACCAGGCGCTCATCCTGTCGTCCCTTTTTTCATGCCGCTCTGGAATTTCTGACGTCTTGTCCGCGCTTTTGGCTTTCTTGGGGAGGTGCTGCGCAGCTGTGCAGTCGACCAGCCTTTGCTCGTTGATGATTTACGTGGCTGCTTGGCTTTGGGGTTGGGGTTTTCTTGGGTTGGTGTGTATAGCTTGAAAGTAACACTGATATACACTACAGTAAGATTGTATAATTACAAGGCTATACTATGATACATGTACAAAGATGAGAAGAGCTCCGCATGTGTGTTAGTGACCTCACAAACTTGGCACTACCCTGGAATGGCACTGTTACTTCTCTTCCGCATATTTCTCTCTCTCCCTTCTCTCCCTCCCTTCTCTCATACTTTCCTCTCTCACCTCCTCCCTTCCCTCATTTCCTCATTCGCTCACTCACTCGCCCGCTCACGCGCGCTCACTTCCTCCTCTTCAGGTGCTGTGCGAGCGGGGTTCCGGTGGCCGCAGCGAGGCCGCCACTATGAGGGAGGCCTTCGAGCTGGCAGTCATGACCACCATCAGTCATCCGCACATCGTGCAGGTATGCGTGTGTGCTGATGTAGCGGTGTGGCGGTCTGTAAATACCGAAACGTTTTAACGGTTTATCTGTACGGGACACAGTTGGTGTAGTGAGTACGTGGTACGGTGTTAAGGTGTACATTCTCTCCATTCCAAGCCCTACTTCGTCCAGCGCACATCCATCCAAAAGACGCGGTTCTCGTGGCCAGAAGAGAACAGCAAGGGAAAGTCCTAAAGGAGATGCTGTGATCCCCGGTGACGAAAAAGCGACCCTAGTGCCGTGCCTTACAGGCCTCAATGAGCCGTGAGATGCTTGGGTCTGAAGACAAAATGGGATCACGTAACTCCAACCCGAGAACCCAACCAGTGCAACCGGGGCTGTAATTCTCCCGGAACTCTAAAGTACCCCGTCCCCACATTCCATCGTGCCACGCGCTCCTCCCCCCACAGGTGCTGAGCGCTTTTACAGACGTCATCTTGGCTACGAAACCCAACCTAGCGGGAGGACCCAATAGCACAACCACAGTCGTCCTGCCCAGAACACCCGTCACTGAGGAACGTAAGTGTAGCGCACGCACATACATACACACGCACACCCACGCACGCGTCCGGTAAAGTAAATCCTGACCATTTCCGTCTTGTGGCGCAGGACATTAAAACACACCCACCTACTGGTGTCTTCTCGCGCTTTCGTGGCCCCACCTTCCGATCGGCTTTGGTTGTTGTCTTCTCCAAATTAGGGCTCAGAATTTTTCCATATATTTACTGCATATGCATTAAATGATACATATAGCTGTGTGTGTATATGCAATTGTACATTATATTTTGTGTGTAAATGTAAAATTTTTAATGTTTTTAAAATTTGTGAGCTAAAGATATCTCCCACGGGTTTTACTTTTTTTTACCTATTCCGCCGCCCACCATTGCTGGTATAGAACAATTACGGTGGGGTGCTCTGAAAGATCTTTCGTTATCTAAACATCCCTCTTTAAGGTTGCCGGCAATGCTTGCGAAAACTATTATAGAAGGCGGTAAAGTAGTAATGTCCCTGGCTGAACAGATTTTGGGAAGGACAGTTACCGCTGATATTCACCATCCTATAACAAACAAGCTCGTGATATCTGCGCGTGATTTTATTTTATTTGGTTATGTGTTTGCCCCGACAAAGCCCTGCTCTCCACCCCTGGTTTTAGCTCCTCCTCCGCCTGGTGCTCCTGCACCTCCCCTGTTACTATGCTATGCCGCTCGCGCGCAGTGGGCGAGCCAACTGTGGTGATCGCCATGGAGTACTGCGATGCGGGCAGCTTGGCGGATGCAGTGTCTGCGGGGCGCTTCAGGGAGCGAGTGCCGGGAGGGTACGGGGCCCTGCAGCCTTGCATGCCGGTGAGATGAGAAAGGAGGGAGCAGGGGCAGTCGGCAGAACGAGGAGAGTCGGCTGCGGCGCTGTCTTTTCCTGCGGCGTTGGCTGTGGCTTATTGCCTTTTCCACTGTGTGCGCTATTATTGTAATTGGGTACGTGGGATGGTGGTGATGATGATGCCGGCATTCGGCTCTGTTCCCAAGCCTGCGCTGTGCTCCTGTCATCCGACTCCGACCCTCTGCATTTGACTCTGCCGTTGCGCCTTTGTTGCCTGGTTAGGCCATCTACGCGACGCTATTGGAGATTGCTCTGGCTCTGCGGCACATGCATGCAATGCTGCTGGTGCATTGCGGTGGGGCAAGCGGGAGCGGGGGCGGGGGTTTTCTACCGGCGCTGCGAGAGGACATGTGTGTGGGGGAGGGAGCCCGTCTGGGCGCCTTACTGGCTGGCTGGCTGGCTGGCTGGATGGATGGATGGATTGGGGTCCTCCTAATGGACTTCGATCTAAAGGAAGACCTGGACGCGTGCGCGAGGAACAAATCGAATGCTTTTTACGTTAAGAAAATGCGTTAAAACAAACAAACACGGGACGAGGAGTGTGACCGCAGGTAGTAGGACTGTGGTCTGCGCCACGCTTTGCTGCAGTCTTGTTTCCTGACGAAGGGAGAATGGAGCTGTCTAATTGCTAATGTGGTCTAGGAGTTGGCTCATCGGCCCGCCCTCTGATTTGTAGCTCACCGAAAGGCCCCTCCCAGGGCCCATCCCATACATGCACGCACGCCAGGCCGCTACACGGCCCCAAGGGCCACCACCATCACCGTCACAGAGACTCCGACTCACGAAGCGTCCGGCCTTCCACTAGTGAGCAGCGTCCGCAGCCACACGCGCGAGCCGACCCCTCAGGCCCCCCACCCGGCCACCTGGACCGGGGTCCGATGTTTCTTAAACCTGGGCCCCATCTTGCCTGCCATGCGCTGCTTTCTTCTTCCCGCAGACCTGAAGCCTGCCAACATCCTGCTCAAGAGCAATATGCGCGACCCACGAGGTTTCAGTGCAAAGGTAGGGGTGCGTTTTAGGGGCTTGGGAAGGGATAGGGCCGAGGCGATGGGAAGGAGGATGCCGCTGGGTTATGGAAATGCTAGGAAGGAGAGTTTTCTCTGGCCATTGCAGGAACGCGACAGCTCTGATTCCTGCCTTTTGGGGCGCTGCATTTGTAGCCGGGGTTCGCTTCCCTTGCCGTTCACTCACACGCACACGCGCACGCACTCACACGCCTCTATTGCGCCATCCTCCTCAATATTTCAAAAAACGTTTCAGACATTCCTACCGGTTGCTCGCTAGGTTCATGTTCTTCGGTTACGTTTATTTTTGTGACATCCGAAGCGCTTCCTCCTCGCACCAGCTCAGCTCACGTCATTAATGCACACTACTCTACTGCTTGCGCGCTGCTGCAGCTGTCGGATTTTGGGCTGGTCAAGATGGTGGTGGAGGACGGCACCGGTGGAGGCGGGGCCGTGATAGGCAGGGATGCACGAACCGGCACGGTGACCCACATGGCGCCCGGTAGGTGGCTTAGGGGTTTTAGGGTTTTTTAGGGTTTTTTTGGGGGGTCGGGGACAGGGAAGGGTGTGTGTATTGGCACTGTAGTTAGGTGGAGTTGTGCCTGCCTGCGATATCACGTGCTGTTCTCCTAGACCTTGTGGCTATATATCGTCACAGCGGTCATAGGTCTGCCAGTACAGGGCTCTTTGGGTCCGGAGTTTTTTATTCGATCTAATCTATCGCACTGAGGCTGATGATGGACTCTTGAGCTTTCGGGAGTTGCACACGCACACTTAGACCCACGCTCACACCCACACACATGAGGGGCGCAGTGTGGTCATTTTTAGCTGTAGGGTTCAGCTTTCGGGCTGAAGGCGCCGGTAGGGCGGCCCCTCATCACGGGGAGGAGGGGCGTCCAGGTGCTGAGCAAGGACCCGGGGTGCGCAGCCGCGCCTGATGGCCTCAAGGCGCAGGCTGCTGCATGGACGCAACTGCGCCGCAGCGCAGGCTGAGGTTGTTTATTTGAGGGCCTTGATAACCACCGCGCTCTCTTTCCTTTGACAAAAAGGGGAGATGCTGGGTTGCACGCCCTCGGTCGACGAGCAGGAGGGGACAGTGGCGCCTCACGCCCCTCTTCCCCCAGAAGGAGATGAGTGCTTCGGCGGTCGTTCCCGTTGGGGTACGGTTAGGTGCCCCTGGCCAGCGTCAGGTCTGGATCAATATGTAACAGCACACACACACGCACACACACGCACACACACACGCACACACACACGCACACACACACACACGCACACACACGCGCGCGCACGTATCCCTCGGATGGAAGATGTATCACGCCTTGCCGCCCGCCGACATGGCCCCCCAGAGCTCATTCGTGCCACCGAGGCCAGCAAGATGGATGCATCAGTAGGTGAGCAGCCCCTCCGTTCAAGTGTCTGTACTCGTGTGGGTTTCTGAGTGGTGATTTTTTACGTTTGCGTTTTCCTTTGAGTTTTACGTCCACGTGTGCGTGGGTGTCTTGTGTGCGTGTGTAAGCGGGAACACACCGTATGTGCCCAGATTGGTGACCCAGTTAACGGCTAAATTAATGTACCGTGTGGTTGTGTATTATGGGGTTATGGATTGCCCGTGGCGGGAAAGGAATATGAAAAGGGGGAAAAGGCGAGCGTGCCGAGTTGCCTAGTATGTGTGTTGGGGGTCACCCAGTCGCCCCTTTCCCTCCCGCACCGTGTCGTTCATTCCTCCCCTTGGCTGGCTGCTGCTGCAGACGTCTACGCGTTCGGGGTGCTGATGTGGGAGATGCTCTCCACGGCGCCCGTGTATCTGGGTATGCGGAGTGAGGACATTCGACGCGGTGTGGCGGACGGCGAGCTGCGACCCGAGTTTCCACCTTGGTCGGATGAGAAGTACAGGTGTGTACGTGTGCATGTGTGTGCGCATGTGTGTGTGTGAAGGTTACAAGTATCTGAACGGGCCTGACACTGGCCACAGAGGGGCTGCTGCCCAGCCCCAACATAAAGACCGCCTAAGCTCCTCTCTCCCGCGGACGGGAGAAGGGCGCGAGGGGCCTCTGCGCCCCTCTCCTAAGCAGCCGAGAGCCGCAGGTCCGCTAGCTCCTCCGCGCTCCGTCCCCGTGGTGTGTGTGTATGGGTGTAAATGTATGTATATATGTGTATGTATATGTATATATAGGGGGAGAGAGAGAGAGAAAAAAACGGGTTGCACGCAAGTGTGGCTGGTTTAGGGTGACGGGACTCGGGGCATGTGGAGCGCCCTCTGTCCAGGGTGTTCAGTACCTTGCATGTCTGGGTCTTGGATAGGGTTGTGTGTGTCCAGGAGTCCATGGCTCTCTACAGTAGAAGTGTTCGCGCAGGATGGCAACACGGCGAACGCCAGGAATCTAAAGAGAGTCCGGAACCCCAAAAGCCATACGCCTCGGACTCTTGAACCCTAGGGCCCTTGAATTTCATGTGTGTTGCTCATCCGTTCCCCTAGGGCCCTGGCGGAGGCATGTCTGTCTACGGACCCGAGGGCTCGACCCACGGCAGCTGAGTTGGTGGCTCGTCTGCGCACCTTGCTGGCGGAAAGCGGGGCACTGCAGGTACGTTTTTATTTGTGTGTGCGTGTGCGTATGTGTGCGTGCGTGTACGTGTGCGTGTGTGTATGTATGTAGGTGCGTGTGTATGTATGTGCGTGTTTGTCCTACATGATGCCTGGCTGGGTGCAGGAACTGGAGGGGTGTTTGGGTGGTGGACGTGTGGCTTCGCCGAAGCAGGAAGTGGTTCCAGAAAAATGGTTTCATGGGCACCTACCTGCCATGGGGCCTGTGTTCAAATGCTCTAAACAGCCGAAGGCCGTTGTAGTTTTACTACGTTGTGGGGTAGTTCGCGACACGGACCTCTTGCAGCCGATATCTATGCGGCCTGGTGGACTATTGCCGGGTTTCCCTATCTCCACCCGTCCTTCTCCTTCCGCCTTTCCGATGGATGTGCCTTAAGGCTTGGACCTGCTTTTGCTTTTCCGGACCCCTTAATTGTCGCCGCCGCCGCAGCAGCAGCCGTCTCCTGCTCTGGCGTTTTGCACCACCTTCAGGGTTGGGGTTGGGAGCAAGGTTTGGACACTGACGTTGCCGAAAACACCGCAGCTGACGTCTATGGCACGGCCCCATGCTTGGTGGTTGGTTGCTTGGTCTCCGCTTGCTTAGACGTCTGCAATGTCAAATCTTGTGACCCACCCGTGCGTTGGTTCACGTGTATTTCCCGCGGACCGCATTCGTGCCTGGCCTGCGCAACACCTCCTCCTCCTCACCACCACCACCACCACCACCAGCACCACACCCGACCTCAGACACTTGGCCCTTTGCTGCTTGCATGTGACTCCCGCGCAACCCGAACCGAACCGAACCCGAACTCAGGATACCATCATGAGGCGCCCGTGCAAGAGCTCCGCCTTCCCAACCGGCAAGGACATCCTCCCTGGAGGTGGCGGCGGCGGCGGAGCTGCCGCCGGCAGAGAAGCCGCCGGCTTTCCAGGCCACAGCACTGCCGCGGCTGCAGGCGCTATGCTCGGCATCAGCCCTACAGGCTTTTGCCGGCCGAGCCGGCTGATGCCAGCGCAGCCTCAAGTTCCACCGCAGTATCCCCTAGCGGCGGCCGAGGCGCACAACCGACGGGGCAGGTCCAGGTCGTACAGCGGTTTAAACGACAGCTCGACCTTCCCATTGCATATCCTGTAGAGGTGGAGTTCAATCTGGCTGGCAGCGGGAGGTGCAGGTGGGCAGGGGGGCTGGCGGGATGGGTGCGGTGGATAAAGGATGGTGGGGGAGATTGCCGTAGCGTGTATCTGTCACACCCGCTGTGCCTATCTGTAGGCTGGAAAGGTGTGTTGTGCTGTGCGTACCGCTAGGGTTAAGCAAGACGAGAACTAACATCGCTTGGAAGTGCGTTTTCTTGTCTTGACAAAGGTGTAGAATTTGCAGAGGAAGCGCCCTTTCTTACTGTCTGACTGTGAGGCCGTGTACTGGGCCCGCGGGTTGGTCGCGTGAGCAGCAGCGACACTACTGTTACTCGAGCGTCTGTTTTTACAAAAGCAAAGCACCAGTTATTTTGCCAGACCCATGTTTTGGTAAGTGACGCCTAGGCGCTTCCCCTCCACAGCTTTATGCCAACTTTCGGGTCATAAGGCCCGAATCCACGTGCCCCTAGTACTTGCCATGTAGCCGTTGGCTGTTGAGTACCGGTGATTAGGTTCGAGGTCTTGTGGCGTTTTCCATAGGTTATTGGGCGTCCTTGCCGGTGCAGCAGAGCCGATGCAGCGCACTGCGCTCTGTCTCAGCGCTGTTGCAAGCCCCGGGAAAGAGTACGTAACCTCAGAATGCGCTTACAATGTCATGCTAGGCAGGCACGCTCGGCTAATACGACACGTTTTGCTGGGTGGTTGTCTGCTTGTCTACCTGTCGCACTGCTTGTCTCTCATCTGTCTGTCTGTCTGTTTGCCAATCTGTCTGTTTTTGCTTGGTGTTGTTTGTTGGCTATTTGCGAATGGGCTAGCTAATGATAACAACAAGATATATAAATATTTATGCGGGTCGCACGAATGCGTTTTGTTCTGCGTGGGATATTATGCGAAAGGATACGCTGAAACAGGTGCATTTTGTAGTCGGGCATTATGCAGAAAATTTTAGGGGTCATGGTCCTGAAATGAGTTCTTGCGTGAGAGTCTAGGAAAGCGGGAACAAGGTGCGGTGCGGTGAGGTGAGGCCGGGCCAGAGACAAACGGTGCAGGTATGTGCAGCGCAGACGCTTACGGTAGTGCCACGATCATCACCCACAGCTTTCCCAGCTAGGCGAGATACCACTGCTGGTTGTATTACACAGACTTGGGTGTCACTTCGATAGAGGGTGTTGTATAATTTGCTTTTACTAAGTTGCTCAAGGTGCTTTGTTTTATTTGTGGTTAAGGTGTCCGTTGCGGCTAACCGAAAAAGCCCTTTCACCAAGTTCCCAGAAGAAGACCAGAAGCCGGAAGAAGACTTTCTTCTTGCATGCGAGCATTTCCGATTGGGTTTTATTTTAGTTTAAGGGTGGAATGACAGTACGAGCATTTTCGCGCAGGCTTTTGAAGGCGGCAAGGGATGGCAGTGATTGTTGTTGTGGTTGTGTTGGTCTTGGTGGTGTTATAGTCTTAGGGGTTGGCCCCTCTTGGGAGAAAATTTATCCATTTTGCGCGTGCGCGATCACGGTTGTGCGCATTCGTCATAAAAGAAAACTACACAGATGGCTATGTGTGTTTGCGTGTCTGTCTAATGTGTGTGTATGTTGTTACAGGGTGGTTAACTTCGCCAGCGGCCCCCTTTCCCGGGGCAGTCCCTGCTCTCCCCTGCTAGAGGGGCACCCTAATCCGTCACCCCATCCGACTTCAGAATGTATTCGTTGGGTTCGGCAACTCGCCACCAGCATCCAACCAAATCTAGCGGATCAACGGCGCATCAACTTAGTTCCTGGTCAGCTCGCAAGTTGATATTATCACGTCCTACACCGTCCATATGATGGGGGGCCACCTCCCATTTCATCACTCCTCAAACACCCGAGGAGCCGGCAGGCGGATTTGAACCCGGGTCGACTGGGTCGACTGGGAGCAGAAGTCAGGCCTTAACCTCTGCCAGCCGCCTACCTGTGTGTGTGTGTGTGTGTGCGTGCATGCGCGCATTAGCGAACGTCGGGAGTACTTGTTGTTTTCGGGGTGGGCCCCTGATAGCGACTTGAGATATGTTTGCAGCTCTGGTTTCATTGGCTGGCTGGCAGGCTGGCCTGTTATTACCTCCGCCTATCCTGCCTGGTGGCTGGTTGGTTTGTTCTGCGGCGAAGGCTCTAAAGGCTCCTGGGCGCCCTGAAGGAACACGCTCCACGTGGCAACCACGTACGAACGCAGGCACACGGCATTTGCAGCGCAACCCTAAGAAACCTTTCCCACATTCCTAGGGCTGCTGCTAAATGCACGTTCTTTGTGCTATGTGGGTGGGTGGGTCGACGGGTGGTGCAGGCTGCCTGCCCGCTGTGCTGATGGCAATGCATGCCAATGCGTCTGCCGGAATTCATTCGTGGTGGTGTATGAGAGGGCGGCAGCGGCGGCCGGCAAGGGCCGGAGGATTCGTGCAAGTATAGCGACCCTCGCGGAAGGCATAAGAGGTGAAGGGAAAGGATTTGGAGAGGCTATAAATGCGTCCGTTGCCGCTTCATCTGGAAACGCATCAATCGGGGGGACGCCACCGGCGATACCGTGGCACCGTGTTTTGAGGCTGCCTGGCCCTTAGTTACCTTAACCGAAATGGAAACCAAGGCAAGGGGTACAGCCCAATCGTAATAAAAAAGAAATGGGAGGTCCCGCACCTCCGTCCCGTCTTTTTATTGATCGGCGCCACTGACGGTAGCTACTGCGGCTTTTCCGGATGAGGGGGGTTCTGAAGGGGCCCCGACTGCAGCTGCGGCTCTTCCTTGGTTGCTCGGCGGCTGGCTCGGCGTCTTGGGGTAAGCCGTTGGGTTTTGCAATCGGGCCTGGAGGCCATGTATAGCCCTTCCCTGCGGAACTTGTTCCAGGCAGTGGGCCCGCTTGTGGCCTTGGGTTGAGGGCCGAGTGGGGGTGTCAAGAGATGTGTGTGTGTGTGTGCGTGTGTAGGGGAGGGAAGCGGTGAAACTTTGAACGCAAGCACACCAGTGTTTCGAACTCAAGGTGGTAAATAAACAGGCAGGCGAAGGAGTACCGTGCCAGAGAGACATGGAAGGGTCGACGCGGCACAGGCCGGCAATTCGTGGTACCGTGAACTGCTATCCCAACCAAATTCCCATCCCTGGATACACCCAGAGGAGCAATGATATCATGATGGTGGGAAATGCATGTCGAACCTTAAAATGGCTCCCGCTTTTTGCTGCGGAAGCTGAGCTGTAGGCCGAGCGAAAGGTGTCGTGCCTTGCCCTTGTCGACCTGCGTTGCGCTGACCCTTCCTATTCCGGCGGCTGCCTTAGGTGGAAGCAGCAGGTGCACGTGTAGGCGCGGAGGAGGGCACTTAGGAGTACTGTCCTGTCCTTTGCCCTGCACCTCGCAAGCCCGGTGATACTAATTCGGCGCTATTGTTTTTGTAGCGTGTCGTTAAGGAGTGAGGTGTAGGGACTAATGCCGCCTGGGTGCGAAGGACAGATAAACCGGGGGGGGCCCTCGGTGGGCTGATGGGCCTCCGAGCTGAGGCGATGGCAGCCCCACCAGGACGAGAGGGAAGAAAGGGATGGGTAGCCATTTTTTTCAATCACCATGCTGCGCATCCTTGACAGGGGTACATTGGGAGGAGAGCGCTCCATTCGCCTGGTCCTCTAATAAATGTGCGCTGGTTGAGCTGCGTCTAGCGACCGTGCATTGCATACATGCTTCATCTAAACACTTACACACTTTAAAGTGAACAATGCCACTTGCGTTTTTGAGCGTTGCAAATGGCCCAGCCGGCGCATTTGGGCAGATGCCCGAACCTTAAGGAGGTTATAGCCGGTGCCTGCTGCGTAGTCGCATGAGGCGCAGAGCCCGGGCATTCCGCTGGCGTTGGAGATTGTCCAAGCTCCTGAGCTATGAGAGAAAGCACGAGAAGGGATTGACGGGCGGTTGTGTGACGAAGGCACGAAGGGGTTCCGGTCGCCGGAGTCGGTGTCGATGGCTTTCCCTTCTTTGCCCGTCAATTACGGAAGGGTTGGCATCTGAAACGGTGCACGCACTAGGCGCTGCAGTAGGCACTGCTAGAGCGGTACGGTTTTGCTTTAATTCTGAACTAAAAATCGAAGAGCATGCAACGGCGGCCCTGCATACAATGCATGCCATCCTACATTTTCCGTTGGTGTAGGTCCGCTCTCCGAAATGCGCAGTGTTGCCGCCAAATTTTGTCAACGTATGCTTTACATTGTGCCGTTGCATGCAGCTTTGTGACAAGAAGACACCTGTCCATTTAAGCGCGTGTAGAATTAATGTCATACCGTAGTTTACTTTCCTGGTTTGTCCACGCTCTGGTACCGTCCTGGGTGATACATTAGAGTCGGTTGTAGACAAACTCCTGGCGTTTGGACGATTGTTCCCGTGTTTCAGAGTGGCTTCGATGTGGTGGCGTGGCACGGGCCGTGTGCAATCATAATAAATGGGTCATGTACAATTTCGACAATTTTATGGATTTGTCGATACAGGACGTAATCAAGCACGATGATCACAAAGCACGCAGCATCCCTGCCGCGCATTTTTTAAGTAGTATTCATTGGTAAGAAAAGCCTGGTCTCTCCACCTGATGCCACACGACCTCACTTTGACCCTACAGTGAACCATATAAACCCCGGCATACGGCAGGAGCAGCTATACAGGAGGACCAGGCAAGCACGGTGCAAACTCCCCAACGGCTTCGCGACCGACTTTTGCCCCCTCCTCTATGTACACTTGGGATCAGAGCAGGAAATGTGGACCCTATCGCCTTAACCAAGAGTCCATTACCAAGAGTCCAAAAACGCAGCGCCGAACACAGCCATCCATTACCCTAGACACATCACAATCTTCCCCACCATGCGATGAACACTGCACCTCTCTTTCATCACATGGTGCTGCTACCCCGCACTTCACCTTAGCTCGGCTAAAGCCCAGCAAATGTAGCACGCGGGGCGCAACCCAGGACGCTAAAGCATCGTCTTTCCGCTGCCTCCGTCGGTCCGCCCACTCGTTAGGTGATTTCCGTCCGTGTCCTGATATGCCTCTCGCTCCTCTACTTTGGCTGGCCATCTTCCCCCGTTCCGTTTTTGGCGCTCTCTACCAGCTGGTCCTGATCGTGGATATGCTTGTGAATGGCCTTCTTGCTCGGCTCCTGAAGCTCGCCTGGGGGAGTTCATGGGTGAACAGTGCATGCAACCCAAGGCAGGATAAACACGTAAGGTCCTTGAAGGCAATCTTGTTACAGTAGACCCGGACGTATTACGGCCAGCATGCGTACACCGCGAACCCAGATTGCTTCGCCCAGCCCTCGCCACGGGCCATAGGTGTGTCTCCTACACTACATCCGACGCCAGAAACGCGTTATATTTACCGTCGAACACCCTTCAATCCAGGCCTCCCTAATTTTTTCCTAATTTTCGCTCTTCCCCCGTGCAAGGTCACCGTCCTCCTTTCTCCATAGGAATAGTACCGAATATCCTTCCCCGCCAGTGTTTTTCTTTCCAATTTTGCCGGTGAATTTTCCAGTCCGAACGGAGGAATAGGTTTTTAGTCGCGGGAATAAAAGCATTCCGAATCTGTAAGGGCCCCCCCCCGACCCCCCCCGATGAGTTACAGTTTACTTCGTGCAAACGCCGTGGGGAATGCCGCAACACGCGTCACCACAATCTCTCAAGCACTGATCGAATAGAGTTCGTTCACCATCGTTCGTCTTGCATCACGTTGAAAGATAACACTACACGACTTTCCGGGTTGCAAAAGTAATGATGATGTGTGAAACAGGGGGGTTTATCTTCGCCCGTGGCAGCTACCCTGCGAAACCCTGCCTTCCCCGGTATTTCGGGGCACCCTCATCCAGTCACCCTAGTCAACTTCTCAGTGGATCGCTCAGGTTCCGCACCCACCACCAGCATCCAACGGAATCTGCCGGATCGACGGCGGCGCAACTCCATTCCTGGTCGGCTCGCAGGTTAACTTTATCCCAGGTCACCACCGTCCATCAACTAGGGGCGCAATGCCTTCCATCATCGGAAGGACTTTGACCCCAACGGGTATCGATCCCGGGAGGTAATGATGCATAGCAGCAATGAACCGGAACCGCCAAACGCAGCCTGTTTCCTGGACCATCGCGATTGTCTCCATATGACGAACGTTGATGTTTGGCCCGTTCGCTGTTGACAACCGGAGTGGCGTCATTGTCGTCGGCTGGCTGCAGCATTGCGCCCCTACGACCTCTATACCGTCTTAATTAACGTTTTTTATATCTACTTTAATGACCTAACACGCTTTGGGAGCTTCGGGTCCGAATGTTTTGCAGCGTTTGGTCCGGTCAGAAACAGTCCGATTCCTCGTTGACTTTCAGGCGTGAGCTTCCTAACAGTATCCATGGCATTGAAGTACTATGATATGGGTAACATGTATGTCTCCTGTAAGATTCTAGCGGGTTTGGCATGGGCAGTCCATTTTTGGCTGGAGGAATGAACTCGCACGGTCGGAACATTATTTATTCTTAACTTTCAGGACCACGAACATTTTTTCATTCCAAATTCGGAATATATTCCGCAAAAAAATAACGCTGTTCCCCGCCTCGTTCCAACTGTCTCCCATTGCTCGTACCAATACCCCACTCACCCGCGACAAGCAGCTCGTCCAAGATATAATACGCCTTGTGGAAATTGAAGATGAGGTCCAGCTCACACACGTTCTGGAAGTACCGGTCCAAGACTTCCACGAACCTGACAACCCGCCGATTCGCCAATTGCGATGGAGGGTCACCGATATCATGCGATAGCTCAACCAAGATCCAATAGCAATCCGCTATCCCATTCAGGCAAGGTGATGGGCCAATGCACGCATGTGCTGTTTCAGGACAGCGTGAATTCAGCAAGTTGTGCAATGCGTTAGCACACTAACAACCCGGTTTCCAAACATAGCCCCAAATTTCCGTCACCAACAGGCAAGAGTTGGACCCTAACCGTGGATGGCAGGTCGCAGCACGGTCAAAGGAAAGCGAAAGAAAGATTTGCGAGCCCGCATGGCATCAGCCTCGGGGTCTTTCCGCTTTGCGTAGGCGGGAGGGGTGTCGGCTTGCAGGAGCGCGCTGGCAGACGCACGGGTCTACGGGAACTACAGCTTGACATGAATGGAAGCGGCTGATGGAACGGCTGGGCGATAGTGTACATCAAAGGCGATGGTGGTTACAGCCGTAAAGCTGCGTGCACCTATGTCGTGGCAAGGCAAGGGAGTGGGGCCTTACTCCGCCGCGTGCATACGTGCTTTCAACGTCCGTACTGTATAATCTGCTGCGGTATCATGCGCAAAACAAGAGGGAAGGATTCAAATTCTGACCGGTCCTAAGGAGAAGTATCCTTCACCCAACAGCTTTGACCATCAAAGGCGGACGCATGGCAAACACCGACTCCGCCCTCGATGCTTTCCCTTTCCCTGCGGCACCTGGGCCAGTGAGACCGCTGGCCCTTAAATCAGTGCCACATGAGTTGCCTGCTCAAAATGCAGGTGGAACAGCGAATGCTGCTTGTGGGCCATACAAGTAGTTGATCCCAGGCCCCCCTTATTGGCCCCGGCCTTCGGTGCTGCTTCCCGAGCAGGGAACCCCCCTTTGGTTCCCCATCCAAGTTTCACCGGAAGCGTGAATTTGACGGGAATAGCGGTGTTTTTTCATGCGCCGACGTCTTTAGGACAAGCTGGGGGCACAATACGGCAAACAGCCCAAGAATCCTTACTCGTGAATTATCTCCAGAGTGATGAGCTCGTTGTCGGCAGCATCAACCCCGCAAACGAAGTAGAGGCTGGCGTACCGCTTGTATACCAGCTTGATGTTCTTCCAGTCCAAGAAATTGCATAGCTTCAGGGGCCGGGCCAGAATCATTGGAGTGATCTCCTTTACCACCCGTGCGCGTTCCTTCATGTTATAAGTTGAGTACCACTTTGCAAGACGTACTTTGCCTTGACGGCTCATGAGGATTACAAAGTGTATCTGCGGGGAATGCCGAAAACTTCAAGTCCCGACGGGCAACGCTAGAAAAAGCATGATACTTGCCATGGTCTCTCTGGTTCGGGCAACTCAGCCCTTTAATAACGTTCTGCCGGAAAGCTTGCACGAGGGCCAGACAGCAAGGTACACGAAGCTGGGGGAACTCCTGAGTTCCAAGAAATGAAGCTAGCAATATGGCAAAACTAGGTAGAGACGTTGACGTATGAATTGCCGTTGACGTATAGATGTTGTAGCAAAGGTGGCTGGGCTGCGCTACTTGAACTATCAGTCGCTATCTCACAGACGCGTACTACGCAACCTGGTAACTTTGGATAACGACTTTGGTACAACTCATAACGACCCAACTCCACCAGTTCTTGCATACTTGCTGCTGTTCCTCGAACCGACATGTCTAAACTATGTACGACAGTGAAACCATACAGACGATCGCGTCTTTCACCATCTGTGATATTTGACCCTGAAGAAGCCAGGGAAACGGAATTACTGTTTAGTTGAATATACGGAATATTGTAATGAACCGGTACGCGAGCAGGCGAGCAGTGAACACGTTGTAGATGTAACGGCTATCATCCACGGAGTTTGAAGCCGGCTCGATCAGCAGCAATTGCCCTTGCGCATTCCAACACAAACCGGCGCGAGGGATTTTACCAGAACGAGATAAGAAGACAACATCTTGGCAATCGGGAAACAAGTCTGACAGCGTGCACGGCAGTTTTAGGGCAGCCAGTCCACCGCTGTCCACCTCCGCTCCATGGCTCGACTCCATGCCCCTAGCCCAGCAGCACAACTCCATCCTCAACTGCTCACCGCAGCACCTGTTGACCACCGTTCCGTCGCGCACCGTTCTGTTGACCATTAACAACTCCTCCGATTCGCTATCATTACTCCTCCAAGGACGGTGCGGCCCAGGGTATCCAATATTTCATGGCGCCTTAGGCGCCGTCCCTGCTCAATGCCCACGTACAGCGGCTCTGGACGCGCACGGAACGGCGGCCATGGAAGGTCGCCCATCCACGACTAACATTCTCCGTGGTGCCATGGGACCATCTAGACACTTGGAATTAAGCGCCTATAGGATAATGGACTGAGCAATGGTAGTGCAGCAACTTCAACTTGCGGAGACAATGTGGCAGGGGCAGAGGCCATGTAGTCTTCCCTGGCACACAACCCCGACGCGAGCTCCTCCGCGGGGGAAAGCGGTTTGGGGCTTCAAGCCAGGCGAGCCAGGAATCGCCATTCCTGTGCCAACGCCCACAATAGCGGCTCACCGGCCTCTATCGGCGGCATGTATCACCCAATATCCGCGGTTCCGTCTCAGTCACAATGCGCACGTGCAAGTTGGAACTCCGACGAACTCTGCCTGGACATGTCGGCGGAGGTCATCACCCTAACCCGCAACCCGCGTAGCTGCTCTGTAACGGGTGCTATCCGACTTCTTGGATGTATACTCGGTGGAGGAAAATGGCTTCACTTCCGTGTTTCAGCACAGTAAAGGCGATTCCACGGCCATCCAAGCTGTGTTAGTTACCTGTCGCTAGCACGAATACTTCGCTTGCATGATTGATACCACCCAAGGCTTTACAAATGGACCCAAAGGCAATGCTGGAAAGGATACAGCTAGGGTGAGGGTCCTAAGCTGCAAGGCCTTAGCGTCCGTACTAGCCAGGGCAACTCCCTGGTCTATCCCTAAAATGCAAGCGCGGGGCTGCTTTAACCATGATTCCTCCTTAACACCAGATGAACCTGTGTGTTTCCTCAAGAGACATACTATAGGTATGAAGTGCTGAAAATCCTCCATATGACGTACGAGTAACTGGAGAATTATCTGAAGCGACATTTCAAATGCAAGTTGACAGACATAAATAGAGCCACAGCGAGTTTGCTAGATCATCGTTATAACTCTTGCCAAGAGGACATCCAGCACATCAACCCGGAGTGTTCCTCTCTGCTTGTAGTCGATATGACCTAGCTACCGCCGAAGTAGCAAGATGATGAACATCTTAACGAACAGGCAGTGTATGTCAGGCACTTAGTCTACTGTAGACCAGGGGTCGGTGCTGCTTCGCTGTTTTTCATGTAATAAGCTCAGAGCCCAGGGATAACCAGGATTGTTGCAATCTTCAGATCTTACAGATCACTGACCGCGCTTGTGAGCGCGCAAACACGTCGATGATGTCACAGCCCTGCGGGACGACTCTGAGCTCAACCAGCAAATGGCTAAACATCTTCCAATACTGCCGCTTCCTACGGATCCTGGGACATGTAATGGTTCTGCTGGTGCTAGCGTTGGTTGGCTCGATATACACGGCTGTAGTACCCCTCACGTTCGTGCCCTTGCTGCTAAGCAAAAACGTTTTCGTCGTGCTGGGCAGCGTAATTGTAATCGTGGTGTTCACCACTGTGGTGAGTTTGCGCGTGCGCAAAACGGGGCGGGCCGGATGCACCAAGTCGGGTGTGGTAGTGATGCAAATCAACGTGGTCGTAATTCATAGCGGCCATCCCCGGCTCTACCTCCAGCATCGCACCCTTTAACCGATACCGGCGACTTCCCAGCCATTCTCCTCCTACGCTCAATCCTCAAAACCTGCTTGACTTCACTTCCAACCCCCTGATTTGGGTCGCCGCATTGTTTCCCGTCCCACACCACCGGCCCCGTGTTCACTTTCTTAACCCTAAGTCCCATCTTGAGTTCACCCGGTTTGGCCATCTCTTTTGTGTCCAATTTGAATATACCCTCCCACCATCACCTCTCACGCCCTCCCCTCCTCTCCCCTTCCGCGCCGCCAGACCGTCATGTGCCTGTGGAGCTACCTGGCAACTGTCGTACTGGATCCAGGGAGGGTGGCCCCAGACTGGCATCCCTTCGCGGACGAGCAGGTTGGTGGGGTTCGGACACCACAGGTGCACCAAGGTGCAAGCGATGGTTGGTTCTTATGGTTGGTTGTACATATTGACAGAAGTGAATTCATTGGAATGGGAGTGGACGGGTGGAGAAAGGAACTGTCGGTGTGCAAATGTGTGTGGGAGGGAAGCAGCGCGTCGACAGGGTCGACAGGGAAGCCATTTCACCATTTCAGGGGAGGAGAGGTGGCGGATTCAGCCGCCGCCGTGAGGGGGGACATTGCCACAATGGAGGGGGGACATTGCCACAATGGAGGGGGGACATTGCTGGTGGGAAGCGACTCATCCATGCGCGGAGGGCTTTTGCAAGGAGCGCTATTGGAGAGCTATCGGGAGTTTGGCCCACTCGGTGCTGGTCCGCCCCCCCGTCACCGTCCCACCCACCCACCCGCCTACCCCACCTACTGCAACACGAAGCGTGGGGGGGTAAACCAAGCAGCAGTGAGGAGAACCGCTCCCTCCCCACTAATTTCTGGTCCTGGTGCTGCTGCTGCTCCTGCTCCTGCTTCTGTTAGGATTAGCGTCATTATTACATTATTAACATTATTGCTGCTACAGCTGCTAATTTTTGTATTGCTTCCCTCGTAGCACGCGCGAGCGGAGCTGGAGCGCCTGTCGTACATGACGTACTACTACGACCGACGCGACCCCAGGCGGCCTCGCTTCTGCAAGCGGTGTCAGACCTGGAAACCGCAGAGAGCTCATCACTGTAGCATCACGGGGCGCTGTGTCTTGAAAATGGTGGGTTGTTGTGACGGGCGGGCTGCTGTGCAAAACACACGGGCTGTACAGAACCCAAATGGTGACGGCGAAGGGGGGGAATGGGGCGTGGTGAAGTTTAGTGAGGGGTTGCGGCCGCACGATGTAACGATGACGACAAGTATCCAAACTCGATCTAACGAGTATGCCTGCGCGGTCACATGTACAGGTACATATGTATGGCCAGGCGCGATGTCTACATCTAGATCTATATCTGATATTTGAATTGATTTTTTTACAGAGTGGGAGCCTTCTGGGCCATTTGAACACATTGTCATTTCTACGATTTATCATACCATACAGCACCATCCAGATATCTGATATGTATGTCTGTATGTCTGTGTCTGCTGGGTCCATGGAACTAGGAGGCCAACTCAGACTACCAGTCAAAGAAGCCCGATACCGATACCCGGGGTGTAGGGAGATTTATGTTAGATGTGAGTCTGGTGTTGTCTCCTTTGCGCATTAAGCACACAAGCCCCGTGATGCATGCATGCACATGCGCAGGACCACTGGTGCATCTGGGTGGTTAACTGTGTGGGCCTTCTGAACTACAAGGTGAGCTGACCTTCCCTGTTCCTCTGCTTCTTTGTTTCTCTTCGGCTGAGGACTTGGTGAAAAAGAGAGGAATATGGGGACGGAGAGGGAGGAGGGCTGGGAGATTGGGAGAAGCGGTGGGAGGGAGGGAAGGACGTGGTAAGGGAGGGGAACCAAGGGGAGGGGGCTTGTGAAGCATCAAACCCTGCCTCCTCTGCCCTTCTCGGCCCCCGCAGCCTTATTTTATACTCCTATGTCAATTACAGCTCTTGATCCAGTCTCGTAATATGCTGTGGAACACGCTGAGTGTTTCCCAACCCCTCAACCAGACCCGACCCCGCGCCGCGCGGCTTGTCACCTGTCGTTCTTTAGGCCTTTTTGCTCTTCATCTTCTACGCCATGATGGGTTGCGCTCTGGCGATGCTGCTGCTGTTGAAGAGCATGATTGACTTCTTTAACAATCGATTGCGAGGGCCTAGGTGAGGTGGGGAGAGCGGGAGGGAGAGCGGGAGGGAGAGCCGTCTACGGCTCGGAGGTAAGGGGGCCCTAGGGCGCAGCTGGGAGTGTGGGTTTTGGTTGGGCGGGGTCTCTGAACTGCTGCTGCTTGCCTGTCTGCCTGCCTGCTCAGCACCCAGCACCGACCCCGAGTAGGCGAAACGTTGCGTGCATACCTCACGCCACGGCCCTCTGATGCCAAGGGCCTTTGCCATAAGACTCTGGCCACGGTTGCACGGCATTTCCGTCCACCTGACTATCCGGTGAGCTCGCGCGCGCGCTCATCCCTCAAACCTGGGTCCGACGACTTCCTTTCCGGACCCCCAAAGTGCGATTTGGCTTGCCTGCGGGCTTTCTGGGATTTTCTGTCGGCCGCTCGTTCCTGTTTCCTCCGAAACAATGGAAGCGCAAGTGTTTTACATGGTTGCGGTGTGATGCGTCCATTTGGGTGCTCGCCCTGTCGTCCACCACCCTTATTGACCCACCTCTTACCTTTCCACCCCTCTATTCAACTTACCCAGCACGTCCCCACCTGACGCGGCCCTTCTGTCTCAGTGCTCCGCTAATCTTCGTGGTCAGCATCTTCTCATTCGCCTTCACCCTCAGCCTAGCGGGCTTCCTGGCCATGCACCTGCAACTCATTGCCGCCAACTGTACGACTATAGAGATGTACGAAAAGGACCGGCTGCATCCATGGCCGTACAACAAGGGCTTCCGGCGGAATTTTGAGGAGGTCTTTGGGCGCAAGTGGGTATCTTGGATGGCGATCTGGGGGTGGGAAGCTGGAAGGCAGCGGTTGGGGCCGCCCAAGGCAGACGCGGGGGAGGTGTCGACAGGAAAGACGCAGCAGACTTCCAAGGCCCAACGGAACCGAAATCCGAACCTGGCGCAATGACCCCTAACCTACGTCATTCCTCCTCCCAGATGTACACCCCCTCACGCACACCCACACTCCTGTCTGCAACCAAAGTCACACCCCTTGGTTAACGTAGGGTTTTAGGGATTTAGGGTTAACTTTCCGTAATCGCCTCCATCCTTGTACTGTTTTCTTCCTTACCTTGCCGTTCCTTTACCCTGTTCACATCAATCTTTCCTTACCTCCATTTACCGTTTCACTCCCGGTTATGGCAACAGCAAGCTACGGTGGCTGCTACCGCTGTACACGGAAGCTGAGAAACGGCAGTTACTGGAGTCCTGTCTAGGCAAGGGCCCACAGATAGGACTGGGCGGGCAGTGGGGAGCCGCGGCGCTGCCGATGTTGTCGCACCCCGCCACGCCCTTCCTGTCTACAGCCGTGTAAGGGGCCGGCGGCGGCGGAGAAGGATGTGGAAAACGCCGCCGGTGGAGCCTGGCGAGTTTCGGAGCGCAAGCGAAAGCCCGTGTAGGGAGACAGGGACGAGGAAGGAGGAGAGGACGAGGACGGGTTGGAGCAGAACTTGGATGGTCGCAGTCAGAGGGGATCGCGCGCGGAAGCAAAAGAAACGGGGAGGAGATGCGGCAGAAGGGCGAGAGGGATGGGAATGGGGAGCGAGATGGGCTTGACAGTTATGGAGGACTTACGGGATAGGAGTAGGCGGCGGAAATTTGGTGTGTTCATTGCGGCGGGGCACAATGAGCGTGTTGAATTCCGATGGAGCATCGCTCGCGTCAACAGGCTCCCCTACCGAATGAGGAAGAACCTCCGTAAACAGTTTGACACAATTACGAATCGACTTCTGTGTGCATATAGAAATAAACCCTCGGATATTGTTGGGCTACACTGCACTACAGGACAACACACAATCGACACGCAGAGAAATCAGGACCTAGTGGGCATCTGCTGTGTGTGCTCTTGCCGTCCTCTTCGTCCGTTTCGTTGGATGCGTGTTTTTGAACGAACTGGACGTGTCTTTGTGTATGTGTATATGTGCTGGGACCGTCAAAAGGAAGCACAGGGGGATATGCAAATTGCGGCCGTGCGCTGCAACGGTGGGGGCGAGGGATAGCATGGGGATGTCTAACGGCGTTTTGGAAGCGCCTGGAGGGAAGGACGGTGGGGTTGAGGACGTTATATCTTAAGGAAAATGAACTCTCAGTGTGTTTTGAACTCCAGCTGCGAGAGGGCCCGGACGCGACTGCTGGTTGCCCGAGGTGATGGAAGAGAGGCCGGCAGGCGGTTGCTGCAGCCGCTGCCGTGCGTGCAACAAACACACACATGTGCCAAGGCATCGAAATTTCGAAAGAAAGGACTTCGGTGGCTGCGCAGCAGCCGCACCCGTCGATATGTACACTATTATATGGTATCGGAGGTGTTGGGCGCACATATGGAGGTTCTGCTCGTGGTGGTGGTGGTAATAGTAGTAGTGGCGCAGGGAGTGGGGTGTCGTCCAGCTGAGTCGTCTAGCCTTTGAAAGGACTCGAGCAGGAAGCCCCTCCCCACACACTACTTTCCTCGCTCTGTGCATGCGCTCATTCTGGCGCGTGATGGCGGCCGTATGCCGGCGGTGAATCACGTAATGAGGTATGAAGCCCCCGGGCGGGAGGTAGAGCGGAGAACGGAGCCATCAGCGCGTCTGGTGGCTTTCAACTCTTGTTCGTTGTGCATAGGAAAGGCTTTCGAAGGCCGAGGCATGCCTTGTGCTCGCCACACATGCGCCGGGAAGACGTACAGTATGCGTTACTGATTTTCCTTGGCGGAAATCGCTTTTAGCTCGCAATGCTTAGGTGTGTTGTTTGCTTATTGGCTTGTAGGTAGGCTGTGTGAGACATCTGCTCAGCAGAAGAGCCGTGAAGTGGAGAGAGGGCAGGGACTAGGCTGGACTGCAGTTGATATGACGTCGTCATGGCTGGTAAAGTGAGAGGTGTGTGTCCATAGTTCCCCGGCAGAAGATATGGATACACGTGGAGATGCTGGCTAGGAGGAAAACTTTCCAAGAGGCAAAGATGTTCGGTCTCTCCGGGTAGAGCCAGTGAGCTCACGTCGACGACCAAAAGAAGGAAGCCTTGCCGTCAAAAGGAGGCCAGCCCCCAGGTGGGCCCCCAGGTGCTTATGGCAGGTAATAATTTACATGTATGGAAAATGAATCACACCGCAAGATCTATTTGCGTGTCCTGTGCATAAGGTGCGTTATGCACGATGACGGTGCAACGCCGACATCCCTCGTCTTTTGTTTGCAAAGACAACGAGATTGCGCTTGCAACAATTTCATTATTGCGTCCACATAGAAATATGACCATTCCGTATCATCACTAGCACCAGTTGTAGTACTAACACCAGTAGCAGCAAAGGCAGGGTGAGCACGGGCAGTAGCACTTCTACTACCCAGTTGTAAACAGGAGGAGAGGTGCCTCAACCAGGCGAGGCTGAGAGGGGCAGCAGTCATGGCCATGCCCACCCTACGCTCAGTCCGCATGCCCAACTAGGATCCCCGTCTGCATACTTGCTGCCTCAACCAGTAAAATATGTCGCCTCTGCCACACACCGGACAGGGACCGCTTCACGCGAAAATGAGCATTTTCTTCTAGAGCCACCACACGCCAACTTTCCTCCAGTACACCCGTTGTACAGTTGTCCTTCATCGGCGCAACAAATCCTCACCACCATCGCAATCATCGACACCACCATCACATCCAAGCAAACCCCCCCATGAGGGGTGCCACACCCATACTTGACTTGCAAATCCAAACATAGTCGCTGCGCGACAGAAAGGGTCCGGTGTATTGTGACACGCTGCATGCAAACGACGTCCAGCCGTCGGGCGGTCTCTAACCCATCCAGTTTTCGTAAAGACTTTTAGAAGCATCCATTAACATAATCTTAAAATCTTAACCTGCTGTCAAACATACTTAAACGTATTCATATTAATATCAACATCATTTGACTTCATGTCCCACGCTGACCGAATGCGAGCCTCAAGTGGCCGGTAACGGCGGGGCGATGGGAAATGATGGGGGCATTGGCGGGCAGGCTGCGGGCCCCCATCAAGTGCGACCACTAGGTTGATTTCGCGCAGGGCAGTGATACCAACCGCGGACGACACCGACCACCACTTCGACCCCCCGGCCTTCTCCGGGCGCCTCCCCCACGGGGGATATATGCCAAGAGCTAAGGAAAATTGCATCCGTTAAGCCGCCGGCACACAGCGCACAGAGCGCTCCAGTCCCTATAGCGTAGGCCCCACCATCATATTTTCCTTTGCTTTGCAACAATAGAGCAGCAATGTTGAGCAAATGAGCGCCAAGCGACTCATGTAAATCGCGCCCCAAGACGCGTGTTGTGTTAGCAGCCTGTACTGTAAAGCGAAGGTGCCGCATGCGAGCTTGCCTTGTGCGTCAGCACCTCTTTCCGTGCCATGTGCGGCATCACACGAGCGATACACGCACACGTCCGCGTGCTGTTCCTTGTATATGTATGCACACCACGCATTCACGCCCCCTTCTAAACGCATCTGCGCCAACGCGACACCGCACAAGTACACCGTCCGCCAGCCCACCTCGGGCGGCTGACGCAAGCCGTACAGAACCCGCTGTGCGGACACACGCCCTCGGACGTCCCTGATGTGTGCAGACGGACACGATATGGGTTAAAGCCACACCAGCCACACATATTTCGACGTTAGCGACATCGCTATTTCTTTCTAAAGCCGACGTCCGACAAATACGACGGACAGACAGACAGACAGACAGACCTCCCCCTCCTCGACGCCGCACGTCCTGCCGCCGCCGCGACCCTAGCCCGTCAGTACGACAAGAGCCTCATATCTCACGCTATTTAGGAAACTTCTATTGCACGAAGCAAAATGTACGTAGCCGTACATAGCCGTACAGCATGAAAGCATACCAAGAAACCAGAAACATGACCGCACGACTTTTCCTCTTCCCCACTTCATAATAACATTCGCTGAAGCACGACAACAACAACAACAGCAATACGGGCACGTACTGCCGGGTGGGTCCTTGGACCCTCCCTCGAGCTCCAGATGAGGTGATACCCAGTTAGCTCCAGATGAAGCCCCGAAATTATTTGATTTCCTCAGATCTCCCCAGATTTCCCCTCAATACAGGACTGCCACCACCACCACCAGCACCAGCACCAGCATTACCACCACCAGCATTACCACCGCCAGCATAGCCATCTTCATCCCGTCGTGCACCCCAATTCCCACAATTCCCGTAAAACCCCCACCCAGCACCCTAACCCGCGGGAGCTTCCTCTCTTCGGGTCTGAAACAGCCATTACAAGGCAATGAACCAGGTTCCCGCTGCTATCACCCCATATAGCCGTACGGCTCTCCACACACCAGTCCGGAACCATAACCAAGCAACCCACCCACCAACCCAACCAGCCAGCCAGCTAGGCAAAACCGCCCCTCGATGCAGATTCCCCCTGTGGTCCTGGTTCTTGGGATAGGGAATACTTGGCGATTGCAAATACATGAACTGACCTCGTCTGAACAGCTTTGTGTTGTGGGGTGGTGTGGGGTGAGGTGAGGTGCGGCAAAGCATCGCCATCTCCAGATTTGTGTCCACACCATCTCCATTCTCATATCCGGAGAGACCCCCCCCGCCGGGTCAACTCCGAACTGACGCTGGCCTCACGCCCGGACATAAACCACCACCACCATGCATGCAGCAGACGCAGTCGCATTCAATCAGGCAACAGCAGCAAAGTATCAGCGGCAGTGGTGGTAATGGTGATATTTACCCCCGTTTGCCCGTTCTTCCGGTTGTCTGTTTAAACAAGTGCTTTGCTGCGAAGACGCCGTGACGTGACGTAATGGTAACCGTAATGGTAACGGTAATGGTAACGGTAATAACTGCGGGGATGCAGAGGCAGCCAGTAGTGCCGGCGCCGAATGGCGTGCCAGTGTACGGCAAGAAATGACGAACACCGTACGGTACCGTACCGCCGCCGTCGCAATGTGCGTATGAAGCTCCCACCCTCTGTGGGTTGAATCTCTCTGTCTACATATATGTCGCCCCTTGGCGGGATAGGAAGGATCGGGGGGAGACCCCCGTGTACACACATCGAACACACAGTGTATCAGCAACAATGAGTACACCACACATGTGAATGCTCGCATGTACGACATGTACGACAACCCTAAGTTGATTTACTGGAAAGCACATACAGACTCCTATGCGCACACGTACCGAAACACACGCACCGAACATAACCCACCCGTTTTCACCAACATAACTGCCATTACATTTGGCAATTTGGAATCTTGTGAAATCGCCGACGAGGGAAGGACAGGACTGCAACAACGCCGCGATTACCCAAGAGCTTCATTCCAGCGCCGTACAGCGTCGTCGTGCGAAAAAGATATCCCCCGCGCATCCCCCATGGCTCGATTCAATTCAAGCCGAACAGCGTGCAGCGCAGCACGCGCATCCGAAAACGCCAAACACTTGCGCCTCTCCCATCTTCCGTGAAGGATCCCTTTACTTCGAGCACTTTCGTCATGCACCGTACACCGTACACAAAACAATTCGCCCCCGTACACTTTTCCATGCTGTGCACCACTGGAATGAGATTCACATTTTCAAAAACCCGCTTTTTAAAAACAGCGCCGCCAGTTTGACTGGCGTTCATCCAATGCGTGCGTTCGCACGCAGCAGCGGATAATTTTTGTTGAAGGGAAGGTGAAAACGGTGCCATGAAACTAAAGCACATGATGGTGACTACCTGGCAAATTTATGAACAGCGTTAGAATTCATGAACGGGAAGTGCCAAATGTAAGAGACGTAAGAGATCCTCTCTGCGAATCCATTCCACCAAACCCCTACACTGCTGCCGCCCGGCCCGGCCCCGATCTTCCCTGGAGGAGTGTTGTGTTTCTTTCCCCACATCCTCCCCAGACCGACAGATATATATACATACATACACCAACACCGGGGAAACACAATGCATTCCAGAAGCACACAAACACGACAAAAGCCCCCCAACATACGCACGTACAGGAACTGAAGCCATCTTTTCCTTTGCATCCTTTGCAATATATATCCAAATATGCACAGGATGCAACGGATGCATCAAACAACGACATCTTCATAGACTCAAACCCGACCTACCATATCAAGAAACCTTTGGGTTCATTTTTAAAATTTGCGTCCTGTTAGTCCATCGCTCCATTGCTGACCGCGCCGGGTTTTGCTAAGCACACGCGCCTTTCACGCCAGTGCGGGCGCAAAGCACACACACACACACACATACACACAGATCGAGTGATCAAAGGAGCAAGGGAAAAACACCCACACCCCCACTGCCCTGAGCCACACCTCATC